CAAACATCTCTGCACCATTTCCACAATTAGGGCAAGATATTTTGCCACTTCACACCAGTACTCCCAGTATTTCTTTCCACCCCTCTCATGGGAGCAGAGGTCCGTCCTGCCCTACACCAGCTGGGCCCCCCCAGCCCTGCCCGGAACTGCAGGGGTTTGTGCTTTCAGGCACTCCCCAGGTGAGGATGTGGCCATTCTGTGTCCCCGCATGTTGGCTTGGGAAGCCACCAGCCCCCCTGGAAGCTCCAGCAGGGAGTTCCCCAGGGGTCAGGTTCTTATCACAAGGGGAACGAAGCAGGGCTGAGGCCTTGATTGCCCTATTATATTCATTTAAAGGTGGCAGAAAGCAGCTGAGCTCTTTCATCTCTTGAGACTTCCCAGGGATGCTCTTGCAAATCAATCAGTAGGGTGGGTACCAGGAGAAAGCAGAAGGAAATTCATCTGTTTTCCTGTCCTCTGCAGGTGCTGAGTGACTCCCTGGATACCAAGTGTAAATGCCATGGTGTTTCAGGCTCCTGTTCGGTGAAGACTTGTTGGAAGGGACTGCCCAACCTGGATGAAATTGCCTCTGACCTCAAGTCCAAGTACTTGGCAGCCATCAAGGTGACCCACCGGCTCATAGGGTCCAGGAAGCAGCTGATACCTAAAGAAATGGACGTCAGGCCAGTGAAAGAGACAGATCTGGTTTATCTCATCAACTCTCCCGACTACTGCACACCAAATCTCCACCTGGGATCTCTGGGGACACAGGACAGGTAAGAAACTGCTGCAAATACTTTCCAACTGAGTCTCCCATTTCATGAGTGTCCGTACCACTGGGTTTGAGAGCATGCTCTGGGAAGGTGGTGTGGGTGGGCTGTCCCCCCATTAGATGGGGATACCACTGCTGCGAAATCTTTGCATCTCAAAGTCCCAAGGGCAGGCAGGAAGGCAGATGTCGTTCTTACAGAGCTGTGCAGGTGGAATGGCAAGGGAGAGCCCTTGCTGAGAGTCCATCAGCTCCACTCTCCAGGACAGGATCCATCTAGTGAGGAGTCAGAAAGGGAAATACCGCCCATCCCTGCAAGCCTTTGGGTGCTGCCTGCCAGTAACCAGAACAGCTCAGCAGCCCTTGGAATCTGCGGTGCTTCCCAGATGTCTCCTTTCTGGAGCAATTGCAGGGCAGGAGGGAGTTTTTAGAGGGATGGGGAAGCTTCATTTGAAGGCTGAGCCAGGGTTGCCTCAGGGCTGTGACTTGTAACCCTTGTTAGATTTAGCAGCAGAAGTTCCTGGTCCTCACCACCCACCCTTCCTTTTCCATGGGAAGTTCCTGCCAGCAGCATGATAGAGAGTGTGCCCAACCTCGGCCACAGCTGCTCAAACACTGTCACAGTAACGCGAGGTGACATCGACCCCGGTTTGCAAGCAGACCCCAGGACCTCCTGCTATGAGCACATCAAGCTCCGGGAGGAGGCCAGGGCAGATAGCTGTGGCTGACACCACCACCATGGCGTGGTCAAGTAGGCTTCTTCAGCTCCTGCTTGTGCCTCCTCCTCTGCAGGCAGTGCAACAAGACCTCCCTGGGCAGCGACGGTTGCAACCTGATGTGCTGTGGCCGCGGCTACAATGCCTACACGGAGGAGGTGGTGGAGCGGTGTCACTGCAAGTACCACTGGTGCTGCTACGTGGTGTGCAAGAAGTGTCAGCGGAAGGTGGAGAGATACGTCTGTAAATAAGGCCCGAGACGTCACGGCAGGCGGGGAGGACTCTTGCCCTGGTGTCCTCCAAGGCACAGCTGGAGACCCAACGCCCACCACAAGGGATGCTCTGAGCTACAGCAAGAAGGGGGCTATGCGGGAAGCCGGGACTCTCACATTACCATGGAAGACCTCAAACTGAGAGATGCCAGGAAGCCTAAGACCGGAGACCGACCTCTGCTCCATCTCGCCAGAGCAAGACAAAAGGGCTGCTCTCCTGCAGCTCATCAGGAGTGTCCATCCCTCTGTCTCCAGCTGGGGACAAACCATTTGTCACTCTGCATGCGCAGGCCCTTTTCTCAAGGGGTGAATGGGGACCCTGGGCTGCCATTGTCTTCTTGCAGGAGGTTTCTGACAGTGGCCTGAAAGCCAGGAGTGATGGATGGGAAGGAGGGAGAGAGTTGCCCGTTGGGAGAAGGCTGCTGGGCGAGGAGGTCATGGGCAGCTCCTCTGGGGGCAAGTTTCTGCTGTGGGCTCACCCAACACCACTGAATGTTCCTCCTCAGGGGCAAATACTGGTCCAGTGCCTCTTTCAGCATCTGAAATGAAGACCAGGCTTGGACACAGGATGAAGGTGTTATTGTTCCAGGAGACAGAACTCATTAATCCTCTCCACGACCTGCCTGGAGATTGCTGCTGCTCTGACTGATGACTGATTGTGACAAACAGACCTGGGGACAACAGTGGTCCCAGAGGCTACCAAAACAGGGCAGCGTGGCAAAACTGCATCCAGAAGCCTTGTATTAACGAGGCAGCCATGACAGGACTGTAGCTTCTGCCCCCTGGGCTTGTGTTGGAGGTGAAGCCCACTCTACGTGTGGCATAATCATGGCTTGTCCTTCCTGCCCCTTCTTCTAGATCACTGAGGTCTTCAGCCCACTCCTTCCACCCCCTTAATACCAGGTGTGCTGGCACTCTGGCCTAGAGAGAGGACATGACTTTAGGGCCCTTGGCAAATAAGAATGACCCTTTAGTCTTTATACTTAATGTAAGTGGGATTCTGGTGTGTGTTTTTTAAATAAATGTATTACACTGTACCTCTCTGTGACGTGTCCTAGGACAACCTCCTTCCTCCACTTCCTTCTCAGATGGCCGAGGGGAAGGCAAGGCTTTAAAAAGACCACAAAGCCTGGTGTCTGTACCTTTACACTGAGCATCAGCTCAGTTTTAACTCTTTCTGCTGCCCGTTGGCCCAGGTTTGCCTTTAATTACAGGTATCTGTCAGCCTCAGCTACCACACACGTATGGGAAAATATGTTGGAAGGTTTC